GTGTGTGTGTGTGTGTGTGTGTCTCAGGTGAATTCAGCACCGCTTTTTGTTTTTTTTGGTGGTGGTGCAGTGTTATGAAAAATGTAGGCTTTCATTTTAAATATGTATTGTGCGAGGAAAGGGGAAATCACTTAAATAGATTTTAACACAAAGACAAGTAAATTGAAAAGTTGGCAGTCCTGCATGAAAAGCATCTAAAATTGTCTCTGCATTGATGAACTACAACATTAACATGCTTTTACATGTATTTATTCATGCTAAAAACCAATTGTAATATTCGTTAATAATGTAACACTGTGAAAGGAGCCTGCATAATGAGTACTTTTTATACTTTTAGTACATTTTGCTGATAATACTTCTGAACTCCAAGTAGTCTAAGTAACACTTACTGTTTTGTTTTTTTAGAATATATCTATTTTACTGAAGTAATGGATCTGAGGACACCACTGTGTTACACGTGTCTTACAGTAATCATCCTACAAACACTGAGTAACCAAAAAGTCAGTCAGTTTGGACTCATAAGTGAGGCTCGGGTGCTAATATTTGCCATGCGCATGCTGTTTTATTTTTCGGTCTTCATAACCTCTCATTCTCTGTTTCTAATGCAGCCAAACACGATGTGAGCGGCAACACGACTGTTCCACCTTTTCCAGAGGGGACAGCGATGGCTGTATTTGGTGAGTGCCGTTCCAGGACATGAAGGCAGTTTTGCTAGTCCTGATATAACCTAAAATGTACTTCATGCTTTATTTAGCACATTAGACAGCGTCAATATACTTTATATCACAGTCTAAACTCAGTAGGGCTGCAGAATTTGTAATTTTGGATTAATCTGAAGATCGGTTTCTTATTTTATTGATTCATCTTTTAGTCCAGTTATTCCCATTGACTGGCAGACAGTTCGGTCGCAGGAGATTTCGTTACGGTCATAATTTCTCTTATTTAACATTTCTATAAGCAACACACCTTCAAGCCACATGATGAAGCCTGATTAGCGTTCATTCTGTTTGTTTAACTGATGAGAGGAAAAATACGAGAGCCTGCTAACTCCACCTAAATGCATCGATTTGGCCTCAGTTATAAGTATTTAATGTGTGTATGTTTTCAATAACACCTGCATCAAACAAAGTTGGGATTTATCAAACCTAAATCTCTTCAAAATGGCTGGTTTACCTCTTCAAGATGATATAAGACGATGCTGAATGGCGGTATCGATGGTCGGGAACGTTCATTTCACGCACAGATTGGCTCCTCTCATGATTTATAGATGAGGTCTATTGAGTCACGATGGTTTGTCACTTTTTAAAAAGTGGGTCCCCAGAAATACAGTTTGGGAAACCCTGGTCTATGAAATGTTTCTCAGAGGCCATGCTAATGTATTTCATTTACTGACTGTCATATACGATAGCAAATTGAATATCTTGAGGTTTTGGACAAAGAAAGGAAAAAAAAAAAAAAGGGCAGATCCTCCTATTTTCGACTCTGGAACCGGAGAACGTTTGCTTGAGAAGTGACTGAAACAACTGATTGATCGAAATAGGTGCTGATAGACTGACCAGTCGTCTTAGCTCTAAAGCTCTCGCTGCCCGTTGGGACGTTGAAGGCCGTTGTCTAACAAAGTTTGGGTTTCTTCTCTCGTAGGCATGGGCTGCTTCTGGGGAGTGGAGAGGAAGTTTTGGAAACAAAAAGGGGTTTATTCCACCCAAGTGGGCTACGCGGGAGGATACACGCCTAACCCCACCTACAAGGAAGTCTGCACAGGTAGCTTCTGCACACTGCTCCACACACACGCTCTCACACACACACACACACACACACACACACACACACACACACCGCACTGGGCAGCGCGTTGTCTACTGAGAATCAATGGACTGTGGAAAACAAGACCGACATAAACAGAAGAGTGAATCATTTCCCCCAGGCCCTATTATACTGGGGCATGGATAAGGCTGCTATTGAAGCCCGACCACCCTGAGCTGTGTGTGTGTGTGTGTGTGTGTGTGTGTGTGTATATATTTCTGTGTGATGCATGTCCAGCCCTCCCAGCGATTCCTCCAGCCAGCCACTGCAGTGGGAATCCATCCTTAGACCTGCCTCACCACCTGTCTCTTTTTCTATTATTCTTCTCGAAACTCAAACATAAACAAATAGCTGTCAAACGGCCACACCAACGCAGAGCTGAAAAGATGCGGGTGCACATGTTTGCACAGCAAAGATAACACGAGTCCAATAAAGGAGAGATACGGGATGTTTAACTGGAATCAACCACAGGAGGCAGAATATGCCAAGAGGAAAAAGAAAGGCCGTGTCCGAAGTCACTTCCTGTTAGCTATATAGGGCACCACATTTACTGTCTGACATTTTAATTAAATGTGTAAAATGTATCGACTATATAGCGACCCACAAAAACCTTGATGGAACAAAACCCCCCCACCCCAAAAATGCTATTCAACAGATGATGATGGTGATTAGTAAGTGTCTCACGTTACTATTGTTGTCACGCCTCCGCTGTGTAAAGGCCTTAAAGGGACAATTCACCCCAAAATCTAAATTGCATAGTCATCTTACATGTGGTGCTATTTATTGACTTAGAGATAGAGATGTCTGCCTCCCCTCCAATATAACGGGGCTGTATGACACTCACAAAAAAACAGCAATGACTCTTTCCAGAAATCATGACCCAGTACAGCACTACAGGTAAGAGGAAAATATGTATTTATAATTTAGGGGTGAGCTATCCACTCAATGACGAGACGCACCGACCGTCATTAAACACTAAACTATCAACGTGCAATTTTGTTGAGGAAAAAAGACGAAACATAAATCTTGTTAAAAAAAATACAAACTTGACAAATTATTTTTGTTGACAAGAAAAGAGCGTACAGAATATTATAGACTGTCCTTTTTTTTTTTTTTTTTTTGTCAATGCATCAATTGCGTTTCTTGTGCTGCGTGCGCGTCACCACGAGCAGAACACAATGAGCACAGTCAGGACGACTCGGAGCATTTATACTTGACTAGAATAGTTACGGTTTTCTTCGACTGAGATAAGACTAAAATTAGGTTTGGTTATCATTTTCTACAATTTGAATGCACCAATTTAGTTTACTATGTACGTATCATCTTTCACTATCAATATAAATCCTACGTGCTGTATATACAGTATACAGGCATCTTTAAAAAAATTATGCCTATTTCAAATGTGGTCTATTCATGATTGACATCATATTGTATCTGCAAAATAATGTTTTTAATGTCTTTATGAAGATGATGCTGTAAGGTCAATAAACTATTGAACCTAACAATTGTAACATGTCTCTCATAACAATTGTGACTGGCATTTATAAATGTATTTATCGGCTAAACTGATTAATTCACATATTTTAGAGATGTAGGTCATAAGATACTTGTTAGTTGCAGCCCCATATAAGAAAGCCATTACATCCAGGAAGCATCGGGTGGGCTGCTTTTCTTGCATTTCTCTCGCATGCCGATTTGTCAAATCTGGTTAAAATCAACACATGAGTCCATCTGAAATGCTCGAGAACACCGGTTGAGTGCGGGACTTATCTGTCATGGAGTCATTTTTGCAGAGCAGGAGCAGTTCATAAAACTCACCGGGCAATTTGTCGGCGGAGTTTTGGCGTCATGGTTGAGTATGTTATGTACTTTCCAACGTTTACGGTTCCATCTTCTTAAATCGTAATAAGACCAACAGTCTGTAGGCCTACATTTCATACAGAAAGATATCTGTGGACTGCATACATTTTACAATATGTATATTTCTAACACAGGCATATTCTTTGAATGGGAATTGTCTGCTGCTGAAGAACACTTATCTCTTCTCACTGTACTGAACTGCTGGATGTGTGTTTTTGTAATCAGCAACTTTCCATCTTCAAGAGAGGCAGAAAATATTCATGTTTGATTAAATATTTACACTCGAATCAGTGTGAGGTTTGAAATGTGCTGATTAAATTTGCCCTTTTTTTTTTCTTTTTGACAAACAACATTTTTAATTTTTTTTGGTCTCAAAGCCCTCTTCCTCTACATTCAGAAGAATATATGTTAACTTCTGGCTGCTAATAGCTGGAAATGTACAATATTACGAATGAGATAAATCAATTCTACCTTCTTCAGGCTTTACCAAACAAAATAATCTATTATAAATACAATGTAAGGCCTTTTATAACTTCCTAGGAGCCAGCAGTGTCATTCAGCAGGTAGTTGGGTGTGGGGGGGTTAAAAGGTCAAATTAAGGATGGAGACTTGTGATTTAATAATGTGCTGAAGTGCTCTACCGCCAGCATTAGGGCTGGGTATTAGGCATCAATATGTCTTCTACTCGCATGCTATCTGAAATTGGTATTCTTCCCTTTTACTTAACGGTAATTTGTCAGTTTTTCGACTGTATTTTATTAGCCACATGGCTGGTTGTGGCAACATTTAACATTTGAAACTTTGGTCTCTTTTGGTAAAGCTGCAATAATCAATGAGGAGCCAGGACTGAGTGGGCCAGACTGCTACAGTAAAATGAGAGGTTCTCTAAAGGGACTCTGGTGCTTAGAAACACTGCCGCTTTAGTCCACAGGGACCGCCCAGAACTTTAAGTACAGTACCGGAGTAAATGTACTTGGTTACATTCCACCACTGTCTTTACAGTTGTTGCTTTCAAAGTCATTGTCTTTGCAGTCGGTGCATTAAGATAAAACTTCGGCGGTCAACTATCAAACACCCAGTCAGTTGTTCATGTTGAAATAGTGACATAATGAGAATGCAGGATAATCATTTTTACAGTTAAATGTACAGAGTCTGGACAACAACTCTCTGTTCCCATTCCAGCCACTTCTTTATTTCCCGTCTATTCTGAACTTGATATATTCCTGCGAGATTGTCCCAGTGAGGCATTAATTTAATATCGACCGCTGCTTTGTCTCTGTTCGCCAATATCTACCGTAGGAATCCATAACTCCTGATATTAAAAAAGTAATAAGAGACAAAGAGAGATGGGAGTGGAGGTAGAACGAGAGACGGGAGGAAGATGAGGTGGAGCGTAATGGGTCATGGTGCATTACCAACACCAGCTGCCATCTATCCGTCTGCAGGAGTGATCGCTTATTAGGTCGGAACATTCTAATTGGCTTTGGACGACTGAGGACTTTTCAAGCACGATTCCTGGATTTTGGCTTTTTTTAGTTGTAGTGTTTCAAGACAGACAGTTGAGTTTTGACCCTGGAAAAACAAGTTGACAAAATGGTCCAGATGATCATTTGTTCCAGAGCTTTCGGCTGAATCACGTTGTCTTCATCAGTTGCCATGGAAATGTAGGTGTTCAAACGTATTCTGAGCTACTTTTTGGAGTTGTTGTTCGTGTTTTAAATGCTTCCACAGGTCATCCTTGACCTTTTGAAACAGCAGCTGACCAGACTCGACTCAAGGTCCACTTACTTGCTTGTTCTGGAGCTTTCGACCAATAAGACCTCAGGACTGTTTTAGAACTTCTTCAACTTAGAAGTCCCGAGAAAAGAAAAAGCCCTACCGCTTCTCATGACTCAAACAATTAACACAAAATGCATCATATATATAACTAATAAACAACTTCCCCAATGCTCTTATGTTCCTCCCAAATATCCCATTATCAGATATACCAAAGAGGATGCTCCACAACCAATCTCCTTCATATTCAACCCAAAGAAGTCATACAATAGGGCCGTAAAACGTCTACATATTGCACCTTTACTTGACACGTTACTGCATAAAAACATCCCACAATTAGGAAATATGCAATAGAACCCAAACGTTTGCGATAGAATTCACTGTGATGCGAGTGAATGGATTTATTAGTTGAACCCTATGTTGGACCTCTTGTGTGTCTGGTGAGCTCACAGAAGTTGTACTTTGCAGGTATGACGGGCCACGCCGAGGTGGTGAGGGTCGTCTTCCATCCGGAGCAGATCAGCTTCGCCAGCCTGCTCAAAGTTTTCTGGGAAAGCCACAACCCGACTCAAGGTACGACCTCCCAGACACAGACAGTCTCATGACTGAACCCTTTAAGGAAAATAAATAGTTTGTTTTTAGTGATATGTATGTATGTAAAAAATGTGCCGTAAAAGAATGTTTCGATACCTGTGAAAACGTGTATTTGGAAGTGCTACGTCGGGGGCAACACTGAGCTGGACTCGCTTTAGATTCCTTTATGTCACATGCTAATGTTACAACTGGTTAGCATGCTCATGTGAGGCAGCTCAGGTAAGGCGGACGAGAGTTTGTGTCAGGAGTATCCCGTCAAGAACTCGAATGTAACATTCTGACCCGTGGGTCGCACAAGATCAAAAATCAGGAGGTCCCTGAAGTCATTAGGATTTATACTGCGTAACAAAAATGTTTCACTTTTGACCAAAGCGTGGGATTGACAGACTTGACGGACACGTGCTGCCATCTCTACAGCGGCACCACTCGAGTGGCTGAAACCTTAGAGCGAAACCAGACATTGTGGTTGACAGGCTGACAAGCTGACGTTGGAGCGGTGAAAGAAATACGTGATGAAATGTCCAGTTCGAATTCAAAAAAAAACCCAACAAAATAAAAAAATAATTCAGCTTTCAGCTCTGCCAAGACAGACAAGTTATATTTTTGGAAAATGCTGTCAGCTGTTGTTTTCAGACGAGGAGGAGGATGAAGGCAACTCACGTCAGCTGAAATCCTAAAGTCTTCATATTGCTCTTTGTGTGTGTGTGTGTGTGTGTGTGTGTGTGTGTGTGTGTGTGTGTGT